ATCGCCCACCCCTGCTCTAAAGCATAAGGCTGCAAAATTCAATGATGAATATTTTTTGTCCTTTAATACTTTTTTACTGTGTTTTGTTTTACCAATCGTATGTTTTTGGAACTAATATATTATATGTTTTAATCTCATTTCTTATTTGATTGTCTCTGCCTAGAAGACCATCATGTCTTTTAGCAGGTAACGTGGATGCAGTCACTGAGGACTTGTGACCCACAAACAAAGCGACTGAATAACAACTTCAGCTTTAGGCCCATTTCTAATAATCAATGTTTTCATCTGAGTGTTTTTGTTTTGCATGTTTTCTATCATAAACAACATAAACGACCAATCACAAGGTATCTAAGGTGGAGTCGGCAGACGTGACGGAGACAAGATCCCCAAAGCAGCAGAGGAACTTACTGAGGCTGTGGGTTGTGTTTGAGGCCGAGCTGACTCCAGGCGTCCTCGGCTGTCAGACGTGGGCACTCGTCCACATCCAGCTCATGACTGACAACAAGGACAAACAGCAGGAACATTATTCCTGGGCTTGTTGGAGAGACGACGGCCTCCGTGATAGAACATCCAACTTACCTCCGTTTGACTTTAGCGCTTCCTTTTCCTGGAGGTTTGTCATCATCGTCATCATCATCGTTTCCATCGGGTGTTTCATTCCTCGATCCGTGCCGTCTGTTATTCCCGGCAGCAGCCAGTTGGAAGCCTGTGTCAGAGCGTACGAAACGCTACATGTTTATAAAAGCAACCACACATCCATTTATTGAACAAAGGAAAAAAAACTGCATAAGGTGGAAACCAGAGGACAGACCAACAAGAACAGGATTAACCAAACAAGTTCTTAAGATTCAGCCTTTGATTCATTTTCACAGCTCAGTCAACACAAACACAAAGTAACAAGTTCCTGTGAGATCAAAAGGTCGACTGACACTGTCGGGATGTGAGCTGCTTCCACTTTTCTGAAGACATTTGTTTTCAGTGGTTGTGAAGACCGACGCCAGGGTCGGCTCCACAGCCACAGGCACCATTTCATCCTTATACTCCCGCGTGGTTTGGGAAAATAAATTTAAGTATTTAATTGAAGTGTTTTCTATTTGTTTTAGTTCTAAATTGGAAGATTACTGTGATGTTGAAACATTAAAATCAAATTATATTTCATTATTTTTTTGATGCTCAGAATAAGGCCGCTGTTGTTCAGGATCACAGATGGAGTGATGATGAGAATCCGGACCAACTCGTGTTTGAAACATGGAACGCCATCCCGACACAGAAACATGAAGAAACATGCGTTTGGAGTCTTGTCGATCTTCTGATCTACACGTGTGTGAGCAGCTGTTCTCCACGCCGCTCACGCCTCACAGCCCCGACCTGCAGACGCTGTGTGCAGACGTTCAGGAGCAGACGTCCCGTTAACCAGGGAAAAGAAATATCTATGCTGGTATTTAAAAATATGTATTCATCATTGTTTGGTGACATCGTGCTGTTTCCAGTTTATTTGTAAACTCAGGTGGAGGCTCGGCTGCACGCTCAGGTTTGTTTGTTACGTGGATCATTTCAGTTCAGCTTTTTAATCGTGTTTGTTTTTGTTAAGATTGTGTTTGTTACATAAATGTATTTTTCTCTGTAGATTTCATGAGCAACACATTATTGTTGTTTATACGAAGCGTGAAGGTAAAAATCTTCATTTTAGACATCAAAACGTGTTCGCAGCTCCCAGTGTCTTCGTTTCCGTGGAAACTGGGTCCAAATGGCTCTCTGTGTGTTAAAGGTTGCTGACCCCTGACCTATCGAACAGCTAATGTTTCTCAACATAACTGATGTCTATTGTGTATGGGGTGTGAAAGCTGTTTCCTGTGGGCACTTTGTTCTTGTCCCCCTGGACACTTAGTGGACAGAACATGTTGGTGGACAGACATTCAACACTGAGGTCAGTGTCTCGTTGTCTCAGTCAGCTGAGCGTTTGTCTCTCGCTGCCAGCACCAAGTGGAAGAACCTCAGTTTATGTTACAGGTGTCTTTGAAACGTGTCCCACTCAAAAAGCTTTGGAGCTTGAAAAAGAAAACAAACTTAGCAGACCAATCGTCTGCCTGATCACGCAGCCTTGCTCACACCTCATACACACAATTATTACCTGTAGTGCTGTGATGCTGTACAGAGTCAGCTGGTCTCTTGCGGTTATTCCCATCATCAGAAGCATCATCAGAGCTGCAGGACGCTCCCTCTGACGGGACCATGACTGAACCACACTGTCCACCTGCCTCCATTGTGAAGCTCTGTCCAAACAGAACATGCAAAACTTCAGCATCATCTTCTTCGTGTTCACTCTCAGCTCCAGTAGGGCCGTCTCTCTCTGATTGGCTCTGTAAACCTCTGTCCGTGATTCCTGTTTCTTCTTCCCCTCCAGCGTTCCCATTACAGGCAGACTGCTCAAAGGTCCAGCCCTGTCCCGCCCAGTATGAGTACTGTTCCCAATAAGAATAGTAGGTCTCTGTAGCGTGTTTGTCCCAGAGAGCTTTTGTATCCGGGTTGTCCCAAGGAGGCCGTCCTGGATCTTCTGAAGACGGCAGCTCATCCTCTGAATGTTTCTCCAGCCAGCTGCTCCACATCAGAGCTTCTCCCTGTTGTGCTGCAGAAGCGTCGAAACATTAGTTAATATTTCATGTGTGGAGTTGTTGCATTAAAAGAACATGAAGAAGATATGGTGGAACTT